ATTATCAAATTTGTAAATGCTCGATGGTTCGATGAAAATCCATTGCGGATGTTTTTTTTTCACTTTTCAGATGAACTCCGAACTTTTAATTTTTCAAAATTCAATCATGCGATGCATTTCTTTCGCAAAAGATTGAAATTTCTAAAATGGTACAATTCACCTGACGTTAAGTTAATACTGAGAGAAAATGGACTTGAAGCATTGCAAATAAGTGTTTGAGAATCAAGAATTTCATATTCACATGCAAGTGTACTGTTATTAGCTTAGACCCGAGATGACAAGATGCCTTATCATAGAAAATGCAGTATGCCTTTGCGGCATGATCATTAGCATCATTATATGAAACATTAATTTGAATTTCAATAAGTTGGTTTCGTGGATTTGCTTCACATTTTGTTAAATTAACTTCTTTCTGAGTAATGGCAAATATAATGGTTCGAAAAAATATGTTTAAACATGTCGCGCATCGATATTTAAAAAAATAATCGATCCTGGGATAATCCCGGGATTAAATTCCGATTTCGGGATTGAAAAAACTTGGGGATTTTGCACACCCTATTCACAACCGATGACTGACGATAACACTGATTGATAAATTCAATAGAGAATGTAATACTCTTGCTTTTAACACCATTCATAACAACTTGTAACAATATTCAAGCTGAAACCGGTTCCAAAGGAACACATGAAAAGAAAGAAGCTTCAATAATTTGCATATTAAATGAACAAGTTCGGAATCTGAAAATGTGAAAGCGTTTGACGACACTTGAAAAAGCATATAAGTGGACTGCGCAGTCACAAAATCATTTAATATCCAGTCTGCTCGAAAGGTGGTTGAGCAATATTTGGTGAGTTTGATTGGTCTATTCATGGTACTGACAACATCAGCAATCTTCAAAGTTACTGATGACGAAGCGAACGGTTTATAAAAATTTCGCTTGTTTCGGTTGGATTTGTTTACTGATGAAGTGAGCAGATTGTATTAACTCAATTCTGGTGCTGCCTCAATAAACAGAAGAAATATTACCCCGTCCATTATCCCAATGTGCTGCCATAGAAGTGATAAGTAGGATTTTAAAATGCCTGTACCGGTCGAATAATTTGAAAGGTTCAGTATGCGGGTTTTATGCGCTTATCAAGCGAACAATTGAAGCAATCACTGAATTCATGACGAAGCAAATTTTTTTCCTCAAACTCAAGCTCCAAGCAAGAAGCATCGTTAAAATTCACAGGGATGATGCTAACTTCAAGTAATAAGTCTGTTCAGGGAGCATAAAGTGTAAGAATGCCTTCAGTGGTAGATTTACTTACGATTTTATCAACGTTATGGGTGTGGATGTTTGTCGTTCTTTGTATGAGCAAAAAGAGATTCTTTGAACGAAACTATTTTACTGTTAGTTGCAAGAATTGCTATTTATTCATTCGAGAAATATTATGTACGATATTTGCTAAACTGCACGGATGACTTGTTAAGCCTCATTAAAATCATGCAAACGTGCTCCTTCAACTCTTGAACAAGATAGACATTGAAGTGCAAGTCATTAATGCGCGATGTCTGTAATTCCGCAAGGTCGTCAATGTTGTTTCTTGATGGCTTTGTTGATTCTCCTGGTTGATCAAACAAGGATATGTAATCGAACGGTCCATGTGTTCCCATGATCACCAGCTTCTGAAATACCTTATACAACGAGCGTTCATCGCGCCGTCATGTTTCGTGCTCGGAAAAATTTCGACCCGCGGTCAAACCTACTTGCCGACCGCTGTAATGAAAGAACGTTATCGTCAAAGTCGAATGACAGGGCAGAATGAATCGACGAATATGCTTTTAGAGATTTACGCATAAAGCGAATGAAGCAGTGATAAACGACGACACAACGGCTGCAGCTACGTTCAGTGCAGAGGCGAAGACAGCCATTGAGAAGAATGATGATTTGGTGCAGCCGTCTGGTAGCAATCAAACGCCAGAAACTATTCCTCCGTCAAACCAGCAGCAACAACAACAACAACAACAGCAACCAGATAACCGACCCACCTCAAATTTCGCATCACCACCCAAAACTCAACAACCAAGCACTCAAACAAATCCACCAACAACCGCACCCGCACAACCACCAACTATTCCTCAAACTCAAGCTCCAAGAAAGGAGGATTCAGCGACCAATAACAAAATTGAACCGAATGCTGAACAAGCGAACATAAAACAACAGGACAAGAATAATGTTAAATCGGTAGAGAGCGACAAGCAGCCGGGTTTGAATTTTTTGAGGAATACAACGGAAATGAATCGATGTTTAAGTGAACACAATACACGATCACATATCAGTTACTATCACGGTTGCTTCAATATGCTACAGATGTATGAGGGAAAAAAAGTTCCTCGAGCACGCGAGTGCGAACCTCTGGGCATACTTGAGTCTAGCACACTATCCGCCATGCCAAGCCACTAATGCCAAATGGAAATTCAAAACGTTATTTCAATAAACTGAAAACCTTTTTACCGCCATATCTCACGTCCCCTTTGTGTTCAGCAAAAATTATTTACATATCCATGATCAGCTTAGCTCTACAATATGATATAAGTCTCATCCGGAATGGTGGGGGTAAGTTCGTGGCCATTACTCATTAGTGTATATTCTTGCGAATTTTAGTTGAACCGTTGCAAGACAAAAATAAGAAGGACGAGACGGATAAAGTTAAAGAGAGTGCAAGTAAAAGTTCAGATAAGGTTGGCTTCTAGGTTCATCTCGCAACAAAGATTAAATGGACCACACGTATTTGTAACGAAACGGTTACGAAAAAATTCCTCTCAGTCAACAAGGTCATGTTATATCAGAGACTGATACATCGTGATTTCTTCCCTGGGCAATATTTCAATTCTTTAATTAGCAATCGTAACTCATTACGAGTTTATCACACTCTTCCTTCCTTGACATACCTCTTTTCCTGTACTCAATGATAATAACGCTGGGAATCATCCGTCTTCTGAACTCGATTATTGATTTGGTGAGCAAAGAGGGGTAAGGCAACTATCCCATATTCGGTTCAGCATTCGCCCAACGATTTCTATGGAGAGGGACTCAAAATAAGTCTGGAAGTACACTCCACTTGATCGATTGAACATGCGTGAAATGATCGCTCAGAATAGCTGTTGAAACAACCAACAATAGTAAAGCAGTAATCTTTCGAGATCAGTAATAAACAAAGACTCTGATTAATACAACTGGGCAGATCCACGGAGATCAGTATGCTAAACTTTCCACAGACCAACCATTGAACGTCTGCCATAAATACCCTTCAGTACTCTTNCAAAATTTTAGCTTCTTTCTCCATGTTTTCGAATGGAATTGAATATGTTAGGCGTTCTCACCGTTTTCTTTTCGCGGAACATCAGCAGAAATGAATAAATATTCAATGCAGCATTATTTCAGAAATTAAACATTTTTGCTGCAGCTGCAAGAAAGTTCAAGTTAGCAGTGTATCCTTTGAAAGGAATTGAACGTGATGTTAGTTTGATTCGGTTGAATTTACTTGAAAACGTAAATTTTGAGTTGCATATTTATACGAACATGATTGCTGCAATCTGCTAAACAACACTCATCTTATCTGACGATAACATTCACCTCTTGTGCATACATTGTTGTGTACTACTAAATGCTGTTTCGTTTAGAAGAGTGTAAAGAAGAGTATAAAAGCAAAAAAACCGAAATCACCACTAAACAAGAAACCTGACGCAGGCAATGTAAGCGCTGCAGTGAATGAACCAGATAAACCCACCGAACCAAAATTTTTGTCTGAAAAATCATGCAAGAACGACGAAAGGAATGATGATGAACCTCAATTTGAATCCGTCAAAAAAGCAGCACCCAAAAAGAAACCAACGGAAGAATTGTTCAAATCGTGTAAAGTGTCGAAGAAGCCACAACATAAGGTTGATCGTTCATTCAATTTCTGTTCTTTGCCAACTAATAACTCATTTGCCACCAAATTTTTACGTTTGCATCGAAGGTTTCGAATGATTATGTAACGTTGCGTGATTCCGTTTAATGCGATGCTTAATTTGTAAGAGTAATGAGCACTCAATTGCTTGCAGCTTAAGATAAGTGTTATTTTAGGGAGGTGAAAGTGCAACTGGAGGAGGGAAAGGAGGGGAAGAGGAGGACGATGAAGATTACGATGAAGGAGACGATACATTGCAAGGAGTGAAATCATTAAAACAAGATCTCAGTATACCGTCAACTGTCGAGTAGATAAACTCTTTTGTATTGTTTTGTATAAAATGAATGAAACGGTTTTCATGATGCCACCAACTGCACTTCACAATCCAAAATGCTATTTTGCATTCAAGCATCTCATACTAAATTCAATATTGTTATCAGCAACAGTACACAAATCATTTGCATCTGAACATCTCTATGTTCGTAGCACCCACCAAACGAGTCGCACCCGCAAAAGTTTCTGACAACAAGGAAGGCACCATATTGACTGACCGCTATAGGTCATCTACTACGACTGCCCTCGATGATAACCTTCATTCAGCCCTCATTCTGTTGAATCATGAGCACTTCGTCCGATGGGTGAATGCAACTCGCTTTTCATCACCTAACTCGCTCCACCTATTTCAGGGTGTATTTCATAATTGTACCGTGGATATTTGAGATTTCAGAAAGTGATCTGACTCTCCGTATATTAACATTGCACTGTTGGATGATTTCGTGATTGCATGTAGCAAGCTCCGAGGAAAGGAGATACACCTGGTCTGTTGATCCGAAATGTGACTCAGTTCTGGATTTGATCATTTTTGTAATGATTCACTTCATAAATGAGCTGACAAAAAGCTGATGGTAAAAAGACGCAAATTCAATTTTGTGGATAACTGATGTGAACGAAAATTGATGAATGATTTACAATAATCAAAAGTGAATCACTGTCACTGATCCACTCTTCTGGAGTAAGTTCATTTCAGATGTGACTCTGCAGATGATTCGCTTGACTCAAGTGAATATCCTTTTATTAAGTCGTTAGATTCATCGAAATCCAACTCAACGCAGACCATTACGATGACAGTGCTTTTGTTACGCTTTTTTGTTCCTAATACTTGACATTCGAATAGGATTGAAACTCCATCACCAAACTGAATCCGTTTCATTTATTCCCATCTCTGGCTAAATCCTCCTATGTTTATGCCCTTCATCCGCTTCGTTGCGAAAATTTGGACTGCTAACCACTTTGAATCCGTTTTATGTCCTACTAAAAGTGATAAAACTTGCTACTCACCACCAAATGCGTGAGCTGTCAATCTCAATTGCATAGGGACAACCTCAGCTACTAGAATGCATACTATGAAGCGAAAAACTGGAGTAATTTTTCAGTCACTAATCAACATATGAAATTAATGAACGCAACTTCGAATTGAATGATCATATTGACATTGAAGTCAATTTAGATATCCAAGCACGCATCAAGAAAATGAGACAATGACGTGTGAACATGCACGAATTGGTTATAAAAAATAATTCATATTTTGACACGTGTAATTCATAGCAAAATGTGCATCTCATTCACTGACATCAGAAGCATATTCAATATAATCCGGATTTACTTCATGAAATTCATATGAATCTACTAATAACACTGAAACTAATAATTATAATCAAACAACAATCTGATCAGAATAACACACGCAGAGAACAACATTAACAACACAAAACAATTGAACGAACAAATTCATCTATGTTCCAGTGATCCATTTCTCACACAGAAAATGTGCGATCACCTCACAGTGAAATAAATTGCAAACAAACAAATAAACTGAAGTTCAACGAACTCAAAATAGAGATAATCTGCTACAATCATTAATCAAGAGATGTTTCATCAGAACATAGTGGTGACAGTGTACATCATTCCTCAATTTCTCATAGAATTAGTATTTGAGGTAAACGAGCTCATAAACACGAGCGTATCTGCAACCAATGGATCTTGCTAGAACTGTTCACTTCAAGAAAATTAGTTGTTCGAACCGGATTTTTCGAAACTCTTCGCTACCGGATTATTCTTTGGACTGCTTGAATAATCTGGCTTGAGACGTTTCTCATACAACTCACCGTATGGATTGAAACCCAATCTTTCCATTTCAGCCTGAAAACTTTCAAACAATTACTGGCATTGAAAATTTCCCGTCCAATTGCTCAAAATTCAAATGAATGAAAAAAGATAAAATTTGAGGTGAAAAATAGCAGAATGAAAGATAAATAACCTTCATCAATTTCTTCTTGAACTTCGGATCTTTTTCTTGATCGCTCCTTGGTTTCTGTAACGCAGTGAATACACCGGTGCCAATCGTTGTGTTTCCTTTGCGTACCGTGAACCGCTGTTGTGGTTCAATAAACATCTTCATGTTCAAACTCAATTCAACCCTAAAAATATTTGATAACTGCTGCATAGAAGTACGTGATAGCCGTCAAAATGAAACAATCAAGTATTGTGCTGAGAAGGCAGAAAAAAAGAACGTGGTAGATGGCATTTCAAACAAAAAAACGATGAACANCAAAATTTACAATGCAAAAACGGCGAGAATAATCGAGCGAAAAAATAAACAAAAATGTTTAAAAAAAAAACTAAAATGTTCATCAAATACAAAATAATCGAAAATGAAAATAACCTGAGCTTCCACTTTGTCGGTGGGAATGTGCTTATGTCCTTGTGGCAATAGCACACAACCACGTCTGACGGCTTTTGAATCGACTCCTCTCAGTAAGATACCCAACTGATCACCTGGTTCAGCTACATCGACCGTCTTCTTGAACGATTCAAGACCTTGAAAGGACGCGAGCATCAAATACTCAACGTTCTACTCTGACACCGATTACGTACTCATCGAGAGCGCTATCAATTTCAAAAAGTATTGCTAACAGATGAAAGAACAATTTCGAAGCTCTATCCAATATATACCTGAAATTACACTCGACACTTTTTCCCTATCACATCCAACTAACTCGATTTTCTCGTTACGTTTCAGTGTTCCTCGTTCCAGCTTCCCAGTCACTACAGTTCCACGACCTCAAAACCATCACATATTAACAGCTACAAAGAATGATGATAATATTGGACAGTAACAACGATAATATTACCTTGAATAGTATAGATATGCTCCACGGCGAACATCGGTTCAGTGTTTGTATTTCGCTGCGGAATTTCGAAGACATTATCCAATACATCCAACAGTTGAAGCACTGATTTTTCACCGATTTCTGGATTCTTTCCCTCGAGTGCACATAATGCAGAGCCGAAGATAACCTTAAGGACAGAAATGATAAGGACAAAAATAACCACGGCTTTGTTCTAACAAAGCCCAACCGGAACTCAAATTGCTGATAGAGACTAAAAACCGAAAACGCTGACCGGTAAATCATTTCCTGCATATCCGAATTCATGTAAAAGTTCACGGATTTCCATCTCCACCAACTCTTGCGTCTCTTTATCAGGCACCTCATCCACCTTATTCATATATACAGCCACATTTTTCAACGGTATACCAACTTGACGAGCCAGTAAAAGATGTTCACGTGTCTACAAAACGATCAATGTGAGGTATTGGTAACGATAATGTTGAGCGACACATTAACGTTTTCTTTANAATTAGACGATTAGAACGAAGATTCAGGGGATGGTTTGCGAAAAATACTAATGAACGAACCTGTGGCATAGCCCCATCAGTGGCTGCAACCACAAGAATGGCTCCTTCCATCTGTGCTGTTCCCGTGATCATGTTCTTAATATAGTCCGCATGACCAGGACAATCGATATGTGCATAATGACGTTTTTCGGTTTCGTATTCCAAGTGAAAAGCATTTATGGTAATACCTAAACATTAAAATTTCGAATGAAATTTATCAGTGATAAAAGCTGATAATTAATGGGAAGAAATGCAAATTGAAAAATAAACATTAAACTACCTCGCGCTTTTTCCTCTGGTGCGTTATCAATTTCTTCGTATTTTCGAAACTTGGCTCCTTTTTTCGAAGCAAGCACTGAAAGGAAATTGAATGCCGTCCGGATGATAGATTAAATATTATTTGCTATAGCAAAAATGACGATAAGACAAGAAATCGATACCAATTTTTTAAGGTATAACACAACTGGGCTAAGGTACTTCATCTACCCTGATGGCACATTTTTCGGCAAGTGGAATTAAATTAGCACGGATTGAAAAGTGGAAACCTTTGGTGATTGCTGAGGTAAGAGTCGTTTTTCCATGATCAACGTGACCAATAGTGCCAACATTCAAATGTGGTTTATCACGTTTGAATGCTGTCTTGCCACCAGGCACAGCCAAGCATCGTGCATGCTGTAACTGAGCCAATCGACTCAGTTGACCTTCACAACGACCCAACGCACCAAAAAGCTCTAGAAATTATTGCCTCGATATTGGGAACATTTGATGAAAACAGAAAAGAAAATTCAATCCTGCACTTATTTAGCTGTAAATAAATCGGGATGAAACGTCATAAAACATGTTTTCAATTTCCAAAACAGCATAATCCAATCAATTTTTGATGATCAAACGTTGTCAATCGCACCTTTTCTTTTTTTNTTTTTTTATGACGTTTTAAGAAGGTGAAACGTAATGAAGACGAAACCAACTTGAACTAGCTTTTAACGATCGATTACAAACGGCAAATATGAACATGTTGAAAACGACACTCGATACGTCTCAAACGTTACACCACGGTACACTTCTCACTGCTCTGATATCAGTTAGCAGCAATCACCCCCTACATATGAACTTATTTAGAAAACGTGATTCTCGTATTCAATATAAAAGCATCACGCAAACCTGGTCAACGTAAGGTACAATAAAAAAGAGAATACACATTCAACGACCTCACAACAGAGAAGTACCATACGCATTCAAGTGTTGAAAAAAAGATAGTACTTTTGCTGATGACGGGCGCCGACGCACCATCACAGATGCTTGTGTGCTCATACGCTTCATACATTAGTCGAGGAAGATGCGTTAGCCTCATCCCTGGGCTAAGCATAAGTCTAAGCTTAAGCATACTCCTGATTTGACTTCAAATTGCATTGATACACATGGNGCAAATGGTAATCTAAGCACATGCGCGCAGTGGCGCCCGTTATCAGCAAAAGTGCTAAAAAATGTAACAAACGTGAACTCAGCAAACCGAACAATGGCATTTAGAAAATAGCTTAGCGACAGTAATCAATTAGCCATACTGGATTTGAAAATGGAGATATTTTCATGATAACGGAAAGGGAAAATGAAAAAGCAACGAGCTTATAAATGTTTAAGATATTTTCTTGTAAGTCTCTCACAGCTAAAGAAGCGTTCTAAGACTCATTGTTGGCAGGTTGACTGTTATTCAAAATAAACTCGCCAAATGCTGCTCAAACCGTACCATCGATAGAGTAATGAGTCGGGATAAAAGTTGAGAAATGAATTGAGAAATGAATCGAGATAAAACGTCATATAGTCGGGATAAAAATAAATGAGTCGGGATAAAAGTCTCAGTTTCCTATCTTGATCGAAGGGTGTCCATTATAATGCAGTTATCTTCTCAGATGTGAAGTTCGAGCTCGCAAAACCACTGCAGAGACACTAGCACATCATTATTTCAAAGTCGAAACACCCACCCTCACTGAAAACGTATCAATCGTCACAGCCAATCACAACTTTCGCAGACCACCTAATCCGTAACGGATCAGCATCGAATGCTACCACCAGTACGTAACAAGCGAAGGCTGACGAGAATGTCAGTCAAATCGATCAACGATCGGCCTTGCGGCAGTACACCATTTCGAATGGGTCGACAATTGGCCGCCCCGCTTTTTCGTATCTTCTGTCGTGACCAAGTCATTTATTCTGTTTTGAAGTGTTCCCATAATTGCACTGTTCATGAATTGGCGAAGTACTAAATTGGCGAACGCGCCCAAAACGTGAGGTACCGTCGGACATCGGCTGAAGTCTTTCGATTCATTAAGCCGTCAATGAATTGTGAAGTTCGGATATTTTTTACAGGAAGAAGAATATCATTGATCAATCGAAGTTTTTTCTGGAAATCTCATTCCACAGCGTTTGAGCGCAATCTTATTCGCCAGTCCATTGATGTTTCATCATTTGTATAATGCGGACATTTTGCTTTGTGCATGATGCCAGCGATAAAGTCTCAGTCTCCTATCTTGATCGAAGGGTGTCCATTATAATCGTGTTGTCGAATGATAAGAATGAAAAAGGTAAGATGTCCATGATTTACTAATATTTAAATATGTACGCCGTGTTGAATAAATCTCTTCTTCTTTTGTATCTGAACTCATCGCACCATCCACCACCACAAGCTAGAGCTCCTTCCAAGCTTCCTGATTGCCCACGGGGACTTTTATAAAATCTATTATTGAAGATAATTCAGTAGTGAAGCGGATTCAATAATGGTGACAATGTTCAAACTTCACGGTAAATTTCCACATTGTGCATGTCAAATCTGCAGTTTTATATAAAATTCCATGGAAATGAGATTTTACACAAAACTGCACATTTGACATTTCAACTCTTTGTTATCGGTCTCGCAACTAAACTGGATGGTAGGTACCCTGTTAATGTATGCGTTCCTCGAAGGTGCACACTTTCGAGGAGAGAACCTCTTTCGTGTTCTTCTCAAAACGTGAACCCGCAGCTAGAGATTGCGCCATTACATTGAAATCGCACATTTCAAAATGCTGCATATATTTGTGACGGTTGAGTGGAATATTGACGATATTCTGATAATAAGTTGGTTGGAAAGAGAGAATATTTATTGACTGATAACGCAATGTAATCATCAATCTTTTGCAACAGTCTTAGCATATGCACAAAGTAGATGTATTGTACCAAGAAACAATTCAAAATGATCGAATGCATTCCATCGTTCATAACGTGTATTCCTCACCTGCAAAGAGTAATTATCACGTCTGAGATTATGCACGAAAGTTACTCGAGAACAATACGACAACTTCATTACATTCATTCAGTTCAAAGCGCTACCAATGATCGCATGCAGTTAACTGACTTACTATTAATATTTGACTTACTGGCGCTGATAGTCCTAGAAATTTTCTGCTCCATTCCATCAAGGAAAACAGTAAAAACTCTTACGGTATCCGAGAAGCGTATTCTTGATTTTGTTTTAAGTCGTTCAAATTCAGTGTCATATACCGCCCAAACACTAGCTCGATGTACTCCTGTCGGACAGACGATCATCTGCCATCCTTCACGGGGTTTTTCTTTCATTTCTTTACGTACCTGAATTCAGCTTGCACAATTGCTCTTCCCCTATCCAACTTCATCAACTCACTGATATTCGCAATGCACTCTACTCAAAAAAAAAATGAAATGTACCAGGAAATAACACGTACGGCATGATGGAAATCGGCAAAACCGTGTGCTATTTTGAGGTCATCTGTCCATGAGCTGAGTGCAAATATTGTTACTTTATGTTCTGAATTCCCTGCCGATACTGTTAAATTGTATGCATCAGAATCGTCCATTTTTTTCGTTCCGTCATTTTTCACCGTTATTGAGCCATAGACTTTTGATTTGCCTTCCGATGGTAACAATCTGAATTCAGTTCATCGTTCAGTTACTCCGAATAATGAGTCCAGTTGCATTTTGCACCAGCAATATGCAATGACAAGGATCAGAGTAATTTCAGTTGAAACTCACTTTCCGTCAGCGACGCTTTCGATTTTCATGAGTGTAACAATAACTTCTGGTTTTGTTTGTAAAACCATTCGATAGAAATCCGATGTTGTCGATGAATCAAATGGTGCTTGTGCTAGAATATATTGTCTCTCCTTAAACTAACGGCATTTCAAGCGAGCCCTCTTTTGACATTAGATTTTAAAATCACTCTTGATGATGTGAACTGTGAATTGAAAGTTACTAGCGGAAGTGCAGCTTTTGATGGGAATCGTTCATTCCCATTTTATATTTCGTATCTGAATTAATTTTGTGAATGCATTACTAATGATTAATTTTGAACAATTGATCAACTATCGTTTTATTGACCTGCGTGCATCCATCAACCCAAGAGGCATGATAGTAATTCGGGTCATCATTCAGCACCACTCTCGTTCTATCAGCCAGAAATATACCTGTCAAATACACCTTTTCCATAATCAAAGCAATCGACAGTACAGTGCTTCAGTGATTCAAATGATGTGCTTTATTGATCATCACCATTGAAGGAGAATTCAAATATAATGACTTATTGAATGAACTCATGAATATTGAAACACAATTGAGAGCGGGTTTTTTTCGAGCGTTACATCAACATCAGATGAAAGATGTGCGAAACGAAACGTCTGAATGAGTGTGTGCAAAGGAAATCACTCCTTCAAATTGGGAGAGAAGCTGAATCGATGAGGTGAAAACGATACTGTTCAGTGCAAGCAGTTGAAACGTGAATGATTTCGTCAACTTACGATCGGGATATTTGTTTTTTGAAGCATTTTGCTTATCAAAGAACGCAAAGAACGTCGAGGATTCCTTTGAAATATTCGAATATACTTCCGCCACTCCATCACCAATTTTTTTACCAATTGCTTTTAACTAAATATGAACATATTGATGACGGCTGATTGCTGAGAAATAATTGGTATGTTGCACACTGTACGCCATTCAGTCGTATATATCTTTTAAGGTAAACTAAGCGTGCCGTGTGGCTGTGACAGCCAGTGGATGGCAAGGTCAAAGTAACGAACGTGTATTGCAAGTGCGGCAGGTGACGGTATATTTCGTGTTTTACCGCGTCTCGTTGAACGCGAACTGCGCATGTTCTCGAACGATATCGCTACCGTACCTTCTTTTGTTTGTATCGTATCGGCCCTTCAATTTCCACTCTCCTCGTTCATAATTCATCATGCATTCACGCAGAAGCGGGCAATCGCGCGCTATCCGCTACTTTGCTAACTAGAGAAGTAGCAGAATAGCGTACTATTGCGCACTTCTCACACCCATTCACTTTTATTGTGAGGACACATAATTTTATAAAGAGTTATGTTTGAGTTGATTAACTCATTCCAATCTCAGACAAGCAACAACCCAAATCAAGCAGTAATCGAATCAATCCACTTCACAAAAGATGGTTCCCATCATTAAGAACATGACGTATAGTAATAGCATTGCAAGGTTCCTCACATCTCTCTTCAGTTAAGTAAACCAACGTTGAGTTGACCGTACAGATCAACGTAAAAAATTGAAATAATCTTTCGAATAAGGAAATCTTATGTAGTCGAAGATACAATTCGGACTTTACAAATAGAAAAATGCATAACTAATTTTTGCTTATCAAAGTTTCTTCGTCCCATAAATGAGACCACAGAAGAAGCACGCAATATTCTCGAACGGTTCTAATTTCGTGAATCATTGTTCAACATGTTGGTGAAATTTCTTAATACGGAGCAGTCATCATGGCATGATTTTATTGAAATAGCAACGCGAGACTATTTTGGACTGATTCCATAAGTACTAACATTTTGGAAACAGTACAGTCGACCGCCCTAAACGATGCTGAGTAATCAAAATAAAGTTTTGCTGAACGAACGGTCTGTAAAATTTTAGTGAACTGTTAATTCTGACTATGAGTCAAAATATACAAATAAGCTTTATGGAAAATGCATTCAGTTTTCATTATGGCACAGCTACAATTTTATTCAAATGACGCATAAACGATGCAGAATTCAAGAATACTAGCAGTGGAACGATTTCACAAGAAGGTGGACACGGTAACTTAGAAATAGCCATCAGAATTGTTGTTGAAATGAATTGAAGTGAACAATGATAGTTTGATGCAATGTGAATATTACATATTTGGATATTAAGGTAGTATATCGATGAGTGACGTTGTTTTTGTGACTGGAAGCGTTTTCTCGGATCGGTCAACACGCGTCGATCGTCCTGTTGAAATGTAATATCTTGTTTTTGATATGTCCGGTACATCTGTGTGGTGCTGCATGAATGCCGACCAACAGGCCGTTGGAAAGTCTTTCTGATTCACATGGAACTTGTCAGGTGATGATGAACACTGCTCGACCACGTTTACTGCACTTCGAAAAACACATGAATGATTTTGTGCGTGAAACGTTCAGATTATTTCACTTCAGCGACCGTTAGAGTAGCTGAATAAAGACGTCTTAATCCAACCGCTCAATGTTTTAATCCAACTGCTCGCAAGCTTCTCAGTTTTTTGATTACTTGCGTTAGCGATTTCAGTGGTAAAATCATTTCAGTGACGAAGTATGATTAGTTCAAAAATACCTCAGTTCCGTCATGAATTATAAAAGATTGTTGGGAAGAGACATTCTGAGAGGATATTGACGAAATAAGCAAAAAAGCAATCACGTCGTGCTGTTCGTCCACTTCTCTCGGGAGCAGTTGCTTGAGGACTCGGTGACGATGTTCCTTCTTGCGATTTTTTAGCTGCGATCTCCCAGTCGTACGCATCTCCCATTTGAAAGTGTTTTCTTGTTAACGTATCCATTATCTGTAAGTTGATCGCCCAAAGATCAAAACACCTCCTTCCCTCTACCTTTCAAAATTAGCGTATTTCATTTTTGCCGCTAAATCATCTGTTATAATCAATTAAATGTAAGTTTGTTATATTTCAAGTGATGAACCGTGATTCTCGGTGTGCAAATTCGAGAGTGAATCCAACGCTCCTAATGCTATTCTCACACAAAATTTCATTTTCAACTGATTCATAACAACGAATAGCCGTACCGTTTCATAAATATAAATATAATTCGGTCTATTCGCATATTTCAGTGCTCTCAAATGAGTTAACACCTTTTCGTAACAATCAAGTTTGCATTCAGCCGTCAGCTGCCTATCGCTAGTCTTTTCTTTCAGATACAGAATTCGATCTTCCCGTCGTGTACGTGCCCATGGCAGATTGTTTGTTTGTAGATCAATTAACATATACATCAATGACCATAAGTCATCGACACGACCCTGAATTAAGGCAGTTTTATTGCATTGCAGACAAGCAGTATGGCTTTGCTTAGGATCTGAAGGAAGAAGGTTATTTCCAGAGATTCGGATGAATCTGCGAATAGTACAATCTGATAGTCACATTCTCTCTTGATCAGTTGATAATTTGGAATAGTATGAGCAATATGTTTCGCTTAAAATAAGTCACAATAAGACAAATAATCACTTGCTCAATACGCTTGTGTGTATTCATCGAGCAATATCGTAAGGTTCCTCTCAGCAATGCCTGCAGTAAGTTGTCATTATTAGCACATGCATATGGACTGGTCTGTTGTGATAGCATCTAAGATATTCACTGCGGCGAACATTCATTTATTCCATCCGTTTCGATCAAAGCATGAAACGAAAACCTTTCTTCGAGGTGCTCTGATCTGCCAAATTCCTTTACGACGATCGGCATATTTTCTCACCATACCATAATCAATCAGAAAAATGAGTCTAGAATCGTTCGATGTGGCTCCAATTGCCATATTGCTCGGTTTAATATCACGATGCACATAACCAACCTCGTGGATCTGTTTGTGGTTTGAAACATAACAACCGTTTCATTATTGCTATCAACACAAACTACCTTCTTCTTAATGTTTCAAAAAAGACTTCAATATCACAATGATCGCATCATTGAAAGTGATACTTGTATCAACTAGTAAACAAAACAGACTGAAACTCTTCACAGAATGGTTTCTCTATCATCATTAAGTATTTGGCTTAGGCTCTGCGGTTCCTTTCAAGTGAAATAAGCTAGACTGATAAACACTCACCTGCTTAATGGCATAAAGGGAATGAATTCCAATTCGAAGGGTAGTGCTCGCACTGAACACCAAAAGTTTATAATTGTGCTTTAATTGTGTTAAATCTGGACCACATAGGGTCATCACAAGGTAACTGCAACAGCAATATCAAACGATATTTCATTAAGAAAATAAATAAATGAATAAATCTATTCTGAAACGGATGCTTAATATGCGTTTATCGGCATGCGATGATCTTCTTGAATTCATTGTCTGGTTACGAAGGAATAATATGCCTAAGATATCACATCAAGGAGAGCATTGAGAACTAAATAAATCTATCATACTGCTTAAAAATTAACAAAGCTAAATGTGATTAGTAAACCGAAAATATGTGCGACTGAATTGAAAGCAGTTGATTCGAAATTCACCTATACATATCTCGTTTTCCCGAATGAAGAAGACGAACTGTATTGGGTCGATTTGCCAGTTGCTTCAGCACTTCAACTTCTACTTTCAATATGCTCTCTTCAGCTTCATTTGATTCCACCTTAAAATATCTGATGATCTATTTGTTTAGATGCATCACTGCATTTATTCAATTCATTGCAGCTGTTTCTGAGAATTGGCGGAGTCTTTGCAGAGGCACTATCGAAGTTCATTTCTTGATGAGGAATTCAAGCCTCATTGGAACAATATACTCAATGCATTCGTCATGTTCCACATGAAATGGTGGCTTCAGTATACAATTATCCAATGATGGTACGCTACTGAAAAACAATAGCTGCGCTATCGCTGATCCGCTGAATAACGCGCTATTGCCCATCTCTGTAATTATCCCCTAGATTGGTGTTCCCGTGAGCTTCTGGTCAGTTCAAGTACTGTGCCTAAGAAGGGCATTTGCTTGGAGTTTAGCATGCAGCCTACTTATGCTTTGAATTTTGGGATCTTTAAAGAGAGCATGACAAGCATAATGCTACGATAAGTTCTTGCACGTTTAACAATAATCACTCCGATAAACAACGCTGAAAATGCTAACTGCTGCCTCATTTGAGCAAAGATATTCGAATGAATGCTTGACGATGCCCCGAGTACTCATATCAGTTCTGAATCGTTTACCTTAAGCGCTGCAAATAAGCGTTCATCCTGTAAACTTTGAGCTTCATAAACAGCTCCATACGCTCCATTTCCTATTCGTTTCGTAATTCTCCATCGATTTCCAACCACCTATAAGCATATTAAATTCAATCGCTTAAAGTAAGTACCTCTGACTGAAATAAATCATTGAAGTAGGTAGTCGGTTAGTGGGCATCGCGATTCTCCCGAAAGCGAGACTCGTTCTACAATTCGGTTCATTTTCATAACTTTCTCAGTCACCTTGCCAATTGGGAACTCGACGATTGGATTTGCAGAATCGCAAGTTGCCTCGCAATCAGACATTTTGAGAGGAATCAATCGGTCCCAACCTCTCAAAACACTAATTCTAATAAACAATAACATTAAAAACCTAATTGCACTTCAAGTCAACGGCAAATTTGCTCTTATCGCTCTACGAATATGAGTTTATGCAGTTTTCTTGCTCTTCGACAAAAGCAGGTAATATACAAAAATCTGAAATTAACAATTCATTCATTATTCATTGTCGGTATTTATTGTTGTTGCTCTTCTCATACCAAGTCAAGTTCTAGTTATTGCAAATGAAACGATTACCGATTTATCAACGACAAAGAATGTCAGTTCGGAAGAGGATGTAAAATTTCGATTAATCAGCGTTAGATTCGAAAGTACCCGCAAAGATTCATCGTAAATTTGGTCTTCGGAAAGTTTTCGTTCATATTTATGGATTTACATTGATTGTTTGTATGCCGATGATTGAACAATCCCAGAAAATTTAAATTATCCGTTGTTTTATGAACATAAGGAGTATGCAAGCAGCAGCACTAAGCCATCTAATCTCTAATCAGTGTGGCGTTTTCATCGAACTTGTTTTGTGAGAATTTCAAATAAGTGCACTTTGTGATAGGAGTGCAACGTTTAAGTAAGTGTTACTATATTACGGTTAATTTGCTCGACATTAATCACACTATCGATGACGCCGTTGGAGGAACGAAACGAAGAAATTTCAAAAATTCCAAAGGCACTACTTCAATATTCCAAAAAAGAATGGCACACGCATTGCGTTGAACGATTTTGTACCTTTCAGTTCCAATCAGTGTCACCAATCAACGCTTTCAATTCATTTGCAAAGTACGCCTCATCTGCTAATTTTGGTGGAAACGAAGAAGATAATTTTATAATATCTTCACTAATTGCACTGTCAACAGTTTTGTGATTTCTTTGTGACATTTATCTTCAAGAGAATCGTTCAACGGACAACTATAAAGTAACGCTTATTACAACAACGAATAAACCAAGAATGCATTGTTGATGCTGAATTTGATGAAGTCGTGATTATGAATGATGTTGAAAACAGTTATTTAAACTTTAAATATTCAAACTTGAATACGTTGCTCGTTAATCATAACAGTGAAGCGTATTTCGATGTGTTTCCGCTCTCAATTTAACTTCATTTGCCAACTTGTTTCTATACGGTCAACTATAGCACATTCCTTTGTTGCTCACATTCTTTTGTCGAACACAAAATCAGGTATATAAATCTTCCTTTTATCTATTTTCATAACTTCTTCATTTTGCAGTTATCTGCTGCTGGATATTGCCGAGATATGTTACTGTTGTTCTAGTTAGGGTATTCCTTTTGATTAGCAATTAGTGGGCACTGAACAGCTCTTGTTCGTTTGGGATTGCTTCGTTAATGTTCCATTTGTGTTTCATGGAAGAGAACGTTAGATGGGAATTTAGCATTTTGTTTTCCGATTTCAGCTTGTAGCGTATCATTGCAGCTGATCAACTGACGAAATAACCGAAAATTATGCTGGCAATTAAAATTTTTCTGGAAAACACTCGAAAACTTAAGGAAAAAAAAGATGTATCAGTGTCATTCGAGTTTTAAATGTTCTTCACTGCTTTTCACTGTCACCAAAAGTTAATTCTAAGCAAAGGTGATGATAAGTGAACGATCTACTACTAGAAAATTGTTTCTTTTTTTACACCATTGGAAAGAAGAAATCTTGAGAACGGTCCAAAAATACGACCGGTAGTCCGTCGTTATTCCATTCCCATTGTGAATCGTTCCAAACAAAGTATTCTTCATGATGTGCTTTCGGAATAATTTCTCACAATTCAAAGAAGTTGTCATTATTTCGCCGCATATCATTCATTCGGATTATAAATTTCAACGATTCTCACAATAAATAAACAACTCAATTTGCTGATGATTTATTGTCCTTTCCAATCAGGAAAAAGTTTTGCACTTTCAATTTTCCCACACACTTCTGAGACTGATCACATTATTTATTAGTTCCGTTATCTTCTCAGCTGTTTTTTCCGAATTTTTATCACTGCTATGAATCCTGTGCAAAATTCTTTTGACACTCAATTGCACGGCTTGCTAAAAAGCTGCAGCATAATAGCAAAATTCTGAACATTCCTTCCTGAAAGGTTCACTTTGGATGGATTATACTTTAGCATTTTATTTTCAGTGTCTTCCTGCATTAGTATTATACAAATAATGATCAAAACCTCAAATGTTGCAAATGAAACTCAATAGTTTCTAGTTCAGACGTGACCTTCTATATTAGGCAGTGAGCATATTCTGGGCAAACCGCTCGATGACAACCTCACTTGTATTTAAATGAATAAAAGCACTTATTTCCAATGCTTGAATAGGTATGTTCGATGGCCCTTTTGAAATGAACTAAAAATTTGGTTAATTGCTCATTTCTTCGTTTTTGTACCATTCGTTTCGAGTGAATCAGAACACAGATTGTGATATTACTTTGACTGTTCATGAGCCATCCCATTTGATCTGATCACAACCGAATTTTATCAACGAACGTTGGCTGTGAGTGCAGTGTTTGCGAGAACCTTCAACGTGAGCACGATATAAGTTCGACCGCAATTTGTATTCACGGCTCCGAATATCCGTTCACATTCCCACTGACGTATTTGATTGCAAACTAAAGATCAAATTACCATCACTAACGCACTGATCAGTAATCAGATGCAATTGATGCCGTTTCTTATCATCGATGTAACCTATAAATTCATTTGTAAAATTTTCATTAATTGTATATTACAATACAATTGTACAGTTCATTGGAACGGATTAGTCATACTTTCACACAATCAATGTTTAATGAAGCTTGACATTGGTATGAGTTGTGGACAATAAACTCGTTTTTTTAAAATTGGAATTATGCTAAAAAAAACTTGTAAAATATTGACTGCTTTGGAAGTAACTATTATAAAGCATAAAATATTGACTGCTACAGAGTTAAAGTGCCACTGATTCGGAATAAATAAAGATGGTTAAAAATCAAAATATTCATTCATGCGGAACTGCGGAATGTGGGAGTTTACGTGTAAACCGAACTTATTTGTAGCCGAATTTCAGCGTAATATCGTACTCATTTTCATTTTTAAGTAATTAGGAAATGAACTGTTGCTCCTTGATTGATGACTGCACATGCTCGGTGATGTTTTAAACTACTCAGATACCTTTACTTTCTATTATATTTGGTGGTTAGCGTCTTCGATCAACACCGAAAAAGTATCCTAAAAAAATCCCTAAAACGAGTTTATTTAATTGCTAGGCATACACCTAAAACTAGAACGAAGTGAGATCTTCAGAACAATCACCAACTTCTTGTACCCTTTCTTTTAGCAAATTAATTCTGTTCAGTCATTTTTTATCACATTACCAGCTCTTTAACATCGGTTCCACTTCTCAATAGAATGCTCTTTACCTGCCCCACTTTGAGTAACTTTTAGAAATCTACTGCCATGCGACTCGCATTTTCGATCCTTTTTAAGTCTGTGGAATAGGAATTTCTGTGGAACTGAATTGACCACTTCAATCTATTCGCAATTTTGATGTGCAGAATTACAATGTACTCTCCAATATATGCACTGTACTGTTGTCTAATGATGGAGATTTAGCATTGTTTGCTTCCTTCACCATCGCCATTGAGAAGGATTGGAACATAATTTTGAATTTGACAAAAATGAACGAACTAAAAACCAACTGATATTTTCTATACTTTATTTCCATTATATTTACAAAAACATGTCTTCTTCTTCTAAAAATGCTTTCAGTTTGCTAATCGCTTAATCCATCTGAGGCGGTTTACAATACTTCCAAAAGCAGCAGTCATCAACGACATCCTCAAAATGAATTGATCCATAGTGCAACTGGTGTCGTTTTAGTATTTAGCGCTACGTCAACTCCATCCAAGTTATCAACATAATTCTCATGTCACTAACCCATGACCTGTATTTAATATTCAAACTTACTTCGTTGCTACAATCCATCCCACTACTACTAATTTTTTCTAAATTTTAGCNGGGAAGCATTATAGCGCACTACTGTTTTCAAGTAGTGGAAACTTGTAGCGATAGCCTTCGCAACCGTCGTTGACTAGCGCTTCAGTGAGCTGCATTTTCACGAAAGTTAGCGCTTCAGCGAACTATTATACGTCCACTATCTTCCGCTAATTTTTCTTCCGCATGCGAATGCATATTTTTTCCAACATTAGGGTATGTGAAAACATAGTGGCGCCGTAACATATATAATACTAAACTCGGACTTACCATACTCGTACACTTCCGAATGCTCACAAGTTGGGTATTCAACCATACCTCAAATGTTTGCCATAAGTACACCACTAGCATTCCGTCTGAGATCACTAAGCTAACTGATTTGAGATAAGTTGGGTGACAGTGCAATGATATCTTCATCAATTTTTTTTATCGCTGGGAAAGGACATGATTGATATTTATGCGCATAATAATATGTGCAGTAGAGTTCGGCACAACTTCGCGTATACTGACCCAACTGGTGTTGGAAGGGGGAGGATGGTTGAGAAAAGAGGAAAAAATCAAATTATATAAATTATTCAATGAATAAAAAAGGAATGATTAAAAATAGTTGGGCGAAGTAACTTTTTTTTTCTCAATTTCTCCATCGCTGCTTGTCAAATAGTTAACGAGATTTTGACAGGGATATGAAACCGATTTCATTCCATGTAGTAGATCGGAGTTTGCGTTTAAATATTTCGAGCAAATGTGAGGAGGCAAATTATTGAGAGAGTCGATTCCAGGCTCTAACGATTCTATTTGCGGACAAGAGTTTTGTAGCGTTTAATTTGCGAATTTAGGGAATTACTTTAGCGGGTTCGTTCATTGAAAAATTCTTCCATTGGGAGATCAACCTGACGTTGAATGATGTTGTGTTCTGCTCAAAGATCAATATGAAATCTTCGCAGTTCTAAATATTGATAATCTCCCCTTGTATTCAGATGCGTTATTGAATTTCCTGAAGTGCCTCTTACATCTTTTCCGAAAATTTTTAACGGCATTAATATAGCGTTTGTTATCGTATTGATCCGGAAAAGAACGAGGAGAAAAAGTAAATTCTAGTGTGGGCGAATATAGGTTGAGTACTTTGCTTAGTAAAGAGGAGGTGATGAAGCTGAACGTTCTCAATGTGAGTGATGCTCTGGTGTTAGCTTTTTAAAACTATACTGAAAACGTGATGATGAAGTTTCAAACTTGGGTTGCTTAAGGCGCTTTGATCTTGGATGAATGAGGAGGGAGGTGATTGTTGGTTGTGGATGTTGAGGGGTTATTAGGACTGTCCTTACCGATTATAATCAACTTCGTTTGTTGTGGAGTNAGTTAGCAGTAAAAACCAATTTGGTGATTGTTCGTTTATAAAATTGAATATATTTTGTGAATTGTTAAAGAACGTGAACATACAAATGAGTGGTACAGTTGCAAATTTTGAGGGAACATTCCGAAGTAGCGAGTAGCGATAGCGTTTAGCGCCCTAGCTTCGCTGACTATCAGTTCAGCGGTAGTAGTTCTACTGTTTTGGCGATAATAACGATAGCGCATTATTTTCAGCTGACCAAACTTTTTTTTTCATCGGGTCAGCGATAGCTTATCTATTGTTTTTCGGTAGCATTCCCATCACTGAACATAACACATTACCACAGTATGCTATGATGTATTTTTATCAACACTCCTTTCTTGTCAAAGCATTGTTCATTCAACTGTTTACTATCACACCAATCGTTTACTGAATTATTATGCTCGTAATTTTCCAGATGCTTAGAAAAATCGTAATATATTCAGGCAAAATGCCGAGTATGAAGGTTTTGTTTGGGGCTTCGATGGCAGCAAGTGTGACTGCCGTATGCTTCGCGATGATTGGTGTGGTTGTGATGTTCAATGATCTGAACAATCTGTATGATGATCTGATGGATGAAATGAGCGAATTCAAGGTAATTGCCATTATACTTTGCTTTAATTTCCACCCTAAAATCATAAGAGTTTGCAATAGCGTATACTTTCAGACGTCTTTATCATTTTTGGTGGTTCATGAATAAGATTGAAATTGTCGCATATAAGACTTTCATGAAAGTCACACATTAAAGTCGACGGTTGCGCACTGCAAACTTGAGTTGACATCCGCAAAATTGTTGATCTGATTGAACGAATCACGAGTGAAACTGATCCTTTGAGCACATAATCATCCAGTTTGGTTCAGATTGTTGCTGACGATACATGGAACCGAATAGTACAACTCAACCGGAATGAAATGCGAGTGCAATGGAGTGGTTCAGATATTTCGACTTTGTTCTCAAGGGCTAAGAGGCAAAACAAACCTCACTGCAGTGAGCAATTTTATAATATTTTGATATTGCTTCATTTCAGACATGGTCACGCGCAAAAAAGAGATCTGTGAATAAATAATAGCCAAGTGTCTCCATCATAAGCACATGTTTTTGATCTTACTTGCTACATAATCCTGACATATCGTAATCATGTTGTTCAACAGTAACTGTACAGATGACCCCATCGCAATACTCTTCAACTCTTCCTAAAATGTGAATGCGGAATGCAGGAATCGTTGACTCTTTCATGCTCGAATCACACAATGCTAATTGATAAATATGTCAATGCAGCACAAAGTTCGAAACCTTAAAGCAGAATTTCAATATTTTTTCAGCTGCTTGATAATGAATTAATAACTGTTGCAATTGATAACCATTGCAGACTGCGACAATATACGACGGGACTGCCCAGTCGGACCACCTGGTGCTCCAGGTGATCCAGGTGAGGATGGTCCCGATGGACCTGATGGTGAGAATGGTAGGCCAGGTGTGCCTGGTGTGGCACTTCTTGCCACCCATGAGGTACCGGGTGGATGCCTCAATTGTCCTCCCGGTCGTCCAGGCCCTCCAGGCCCGCAAGGTCCACCCGGAGAGCCAGGGATGTCCGGCAACACGGGTCCTCCAGGACGGTGCGGTCGACCGGGTCCAAAAGGACCAGAAGGAGACGCAGGAGACCCTGGCATGTGTGGACCAATTGGGCCACCTGGACGGCCTGGTGCACCTGGTCAAGACGGAAAACGCGGACGCGGACCACCTGGAAGAAAAGGAGCACCAGGTCCTCGAGGTCCACCAGGACCACCTGGAAATGACGGTGCGAAGGGTGAAGACGGTGAGCCTGGCGATAAAGGACCGGATGGTAGATGCGGAAAGGACGGAAGGCCAGGAAAAGATGGACGAACAGGACCGGTTAGTGCATTCAAGATATCATTGACCCAATGGTCATTTTAGATTAAATCACAAATTTCTCGCATGAAAAATGTGAAATTCGACTGGATAAAGGTTGATGGCTTATTACGAAAACCTTAGGAATTCAACTGCTCCAAGTAGGAAATTACCAACGTTGTTTACGTGTTGAATTTCGTGAATGTTTGCTAATAAAAAACATCATAAAAATTCAGTCAAAGCTACCAATCCGTTCAACTGTGTAAAGTTATCAGTAACATATGAATGAAGAGCTTGATTGGCGATACATCAATCAATCTCGCTATAACCAAGTTGAATTGATTGAACAAACAACATTTGAAGAGCTTAAAAAATTCGAGTAGATGTCTACTTAGGCAATCACGCATGCAACTTATGGTTGACTTGAACTCTTTACTAGCACATTAAATATGAAAAAACTGCTTGGGGAGTGGCAATATTTTCGATTGCGATAGATTTCAGCTTCAGTTTAGGTTTGTCCCTAGGATTGGAATTTTGAAATGAAAGCTGTCAGCTATTTCGGCTGTCGCTCAAGCCCGGCAATTCATAGTTGTCCGATCAGATGCCTACTTGCCTACTCTCCCATATGAACATCTCGCCGCTCTAGGACTATTTTATTGAATGCATGCAGTGGGGAACAGTTGATCATATAAGTAGGGAGCATCCGAAGTGATCGACGAATCTTTTTTCTATGAGGATTCCTTAGACAAGAAAGAGGACAGTCCTAGGAGCTTGTTTTTGCCGGGAACGGTTGTATGTGAAAAGGGCGTTGATGGCTACCGGCCCGCAGCTTGTGCCGAGATAATCCCAAGTTGGCCCAACAAACCGGTTGTCTTCCCGAAAATCCGTCTGTTCAGAGTCCGATCACCTATTTACAACCAATTATGGATTTCTTGCACATTTCGTTAACTTTCATTCTAATCGAAACGTTAAATTTCTTTTGCATTTCATCCCGTTGCTCTGCATTGGAAACACGTTTAGTATATGAGCACCGATAATGCTAGACTATTTTCGGCTATTTGTTTACATAATCAAATAGAACTGCTTATACAGTGAGAAGGAAGCCTTCAATTTGATAAAAATGGAGATATGGAGAAGGGGCCAATGAAAGCAATTCACCAGTAATGAAAACAAACATTATATCACTAAAATTCTGAACCGATAAAAAGTTTTGTTACTAGTAACAAAAAGCATTTTTAATGTTATGATTATTCAGAACGATTCGTTCATTCTGAACACATCTTCATGAATCACCAGCGATAATTTTAGAATACGATCTTATTTTTTGCAGCCTGGAAGCGATGGTCTACCGGGTCCGGACGCACACTACTGTCCTTGTCCTCCACGCAGTGCTGTCTTTGTGGTGACGCATTAGAGGATTATAGCGTTCATGGTTATTCAGGCATCATTTACTGCTCGTCGTTCTATTCGAAATGCCGTGCCTTCACCGATTCGATGCAACTTCAGTTGTTATTTAGTTTCAGTTAAAAAATTCAATCAGCATATGAAATTTGATATTGATAATAAACTTGTTTCTATCTGTATTTTTTGCTCATAAAACGAAATGGTGCTGAATGCTATTGGGACTCAAATCAACTGCGCTAGTATGACTTGTTTTCATGCCCCCGCCGCATGCGATTCGGAAATCAAGTTCACAAGGAAGCTCATTACAAACCTGGCTACGACTACTCAAGCGTTACAGTTCTATACGTTCTATTAATGCAAACGTACTCGAATATAGTGCGAACACTGATCTCTAAATCTAGTCTTGATCTAGTTTTGATTTCACGCAAAATTATTTGAACGACCTTTTTTTCTTATATTTAGACGAATATTATTGGAAACCATTTCGGTAGCTTACTTCTGCAAGTAGTTTTTGTTCGGGCAAAAAGACACCAAATGAGATTCAAACTTTACAAACAACTGAAACGATAACAAATGATGAAGGTAGAACTTGCCTTTCAATATACTTGTTATTTACCATCGAACAAAGGAAGATAGCGATTTAAAAAAGACGCAATGTGATCTGGAGAAAAAGTTCGACGCACATACTAATCGTGTATTTAGTGGTGGAAAAAACGCACGAAACAAACAAATAACATCGAGTTGAATCGATGTAAACGTGAAGTATTTTACTGAAGCATGATAAATTCGAGTACACACGTACAGACACAAATAATAAAGACAGATAGGAATTATTTATTATCAAAGATGGAGATAATTTCCATCAAAGCAAACGCATAGTTTAACTGGAATTGCATATTTGCATTGAGATGTCGTTTTACAATCGTTCGTCTAGTGTTTCTTAGCTGAAAGGAAAACCGAACGAGGTGGACATGGACAATACGTCGCATCACGTCCTGGCAATCCTGGAGAGCCAGCCTGAAATAGATCTATGTGGTGTTTGCTTTTAACGAACTATCATAAACTCGCACTCGAAACCAAAACGAAACAAATATCAAGCTGACGTTACTGCCAGTTGCTCTGTCATGAATCAACATATCACACAAACAACTCCTCAATCTCATTAGCAATCGGTAGCACTTTCCTAATCAAAACTGAAAACACCATATACAAATCGAAAAACCAAATATAACGGAAACGTACCGGTCCAGGACGTCCATCTTTTCCAGGTCGTCCATCGCGTCCAGGTCTTCCATCACGACCCTTATCTCCCGGTTCTCCATCGGCACCCTTTTCACCATCTTTACCCGGCGCACCTTGTGGACCTCGTGGGCCAGTTGGGCCTTTCGGTCCCTTTGGTCCCTTACCACGCTTACCGTCCTTACCAGGTGGTCCTGGACGTCCAGCTGGACCTCGTCTGCCTGGTTCACCCTCATCTCCTGGTTCACCAGGACGCCCAGGTAGACCAGGCTTGCCGGCTGGTCCCCGTGGTCCACAACGTCCAGCAGGTCCTCGTTCACCGGGTGGTCCATCAGGTCCGCGAGGTCCGACTGGACCTGGCGGGCATCGAATGCAACCACCAGGAATATCGTGCGTAGCCAACAGTGAAACACCAGACACACCCGGACGACCATCCTCACCGTCTGGACCATCTGGACCCTTTTCTCCTTTATCGCCGGGAGGACCTTGTGGTCCAGCTGGGCATTGGTTACGAGGCGCGGTACAATCTGCGAATGTTTAATCAGCTTCAATTCAGCGCCAATAAACATTGATGATTTTTCTTCACTTAGCATTTCCTATAGATCACTTGTAGAGGGAGCGTTAGCTCAGAACGTTAATCCATTAACATGCGCTCGTCGGTGATGAAGTGAAAGAAACGCTACGAATTAATCGATAGGGAATGACAAGGAAAATGAAGAGTTGAAAGACTCACGACATTGGTCTGGGAACGTCTGTCGCTTATTTCTAACGAAGAGGCTCTCAAACGTGTAAGGCGCATTACTTTCACCGGTTGGGTTCATATGAAGTCGCATAATTCTATACCACATATCGTCAGTGAGTGCCTAAACAAGATTATCTTTACCTCTAACCACTGTGACTTTAAATTACCTAAAAATATGTGATGCAACTTCGAACTTCTTCTTGCAATACTAAATTTAGTATTTGATCGAGAATAGATAGTAGTAAACCACTAATAGAGCCTTTGAAAATATTCGATTAATGCGCGAACAACTAATAAAGGTCATCAATTAGATTTCATATTATTTAGGAACTGTATTGGTCAAGGAGGAAAATCGAGCGAAAATTACTCGAGCGTGAGTGAAAATTGAAGATTTTAAAAACTGTACGCAACTTCCTCGATCACCAGACAAGTTTTTGCAGATGTATTCAATTCGTTTGCAAAATAACAATTCAAATTTTTTCAACTAATGCGGCCGTCTCCACTTCCAATTAGTTTGCTTTTCTTTTTTCCTTTAAATGACTCGGATAATACGGATACGGATGTTAATTGATATGAAATATGTGTACAAATCGAGTTTTTTGAAAATATTTATGGGAATTGAAATGCACTTAAACACCAATCGAAAGATTGTTAGTTTTTTTTTTGTCAAATGCAAAGATGGCTGCCTTAAAGAGAGTTATTCAGTGTTGTAATAATGACGAACACTACACATTCTTTTGAGGCGCATACTCGTATTCAGTCTGCAACAAACATGTACTGTTTGTGAAACGATGCTGTGAAAATAGTTTTTTGTTCATTTCAGTGAGATTCTACGCTTTGATGTAAAGGAGTTGAAAGAACAACCAAGAGCTGATCAAATTGTCAATGCGATTTCGCGATGTAAATTGATCATTCACCTTAAGAGACATCATAGAATAGTGAAATGCAGAATGATAATTAGTCGTGACAGATGAGATGTGTTCCTTTGAAGTGAGTTTTAAACGGATTTGAAATTATTTCATGTTTGACTTGAAAATAAATGCACTATTACATTAATCACATCATTGCATCTAACAAATAATCGTTCTTTATTAAGTTCAAATCAATTCTCCTCTAGTTGCAGAGGATTTATCGATCTCTTGAGTGAAACCCTCTCAAGTAATATTTCTCATTCCTTGTTTATTACTTTTTACTCGTTATTTCATGAAATATTGTTCTTCAGTACGATTGTTGATTTCCATAACTGAATTGCAATTCGAGCAGAAAGTGAAACGACTTACTCTGAACCCATTCATTTCATCCATGACATCTGCATACAGATCATTGATATCACTGAATATAACACCTACAGCAAACAATGAAACACAAATGAAGAAAGCACTAGATGCAACAGCTATGCCAATACACGTTTGCACACCCATCTCTAACTAAAAATAAGGTCAATTCCGCTGTTTGACAGCTGAAAATCAAATTTTATTCAGCTTCGACTCGATCAACAACTTGTCACAATAAATATTCGCAGTTAGAGAACGCAGGACAGTGAACATCGGAGATCGAATCGGATTTTAAAGGCGCCACATTACAGAAACGTCACATAACAGCAAATACCATGAAGCAATCCAGTGAGAGATTAGGTGATATGCCGCTCCTATGATGCCAAACTAAAGTCTCGATTGCACATAATACCAGAAAAATGGATAGAATGAGAGTGGAACAGAGAAGAATTCAGATGGATTAGTTGGACATAGAATGGTGAACCGCCTAATCGATCAAAATTTCGAAGGATGTGATCAGCTACTGGTGAGAAATTTTGGACAAATCGAATTGTCGTGAAGCAGTTGGATTCTGAACGATATCGGATTGTTTCACTGATGAAGTTACAATGAATGAATAAGATTCAAAGAACAGGAACAAAAGTGAAATTGAATGTAAGATGAAATGTAACGAAACAAACGCGGATCCTCAAGAACTGGAGTCTCAGTGGACATCCGACCACCTCTCTGCACACAAAACAAAAGTGAAAAGTTGCGGCATCAGCAATGTAATGATTGCACCTTCGTATATATACACATGCATATGTATATAAATATGGCTACAAATGTACACTCACGATGACAAATCAACACGACGTGTCCCGATTCGTTGTTTTTCAATAATTAATCAATGCCATCAACAAAACTTTCCTTCGTTTTTTTATTCATAACCGTTTTAAATGCTCCAAACGAAACCAATACATCAAACAATAAATCTATGTCACAGCTACGGATATATCAACACGGCTCATGCAGAGTCAATAAGATGATAATTTATTGCAGACGTTTACCCAGAAACTGAAAGAAAATTAACCGACAACGACTATGTTTGAGAATATAAATGCGCACTGATGGGAGGATCTTCTGAGTGCCTTCATTGAGAACCGATCGTGATGACGTGAAAAGCGATAAAATTTTTGGAGGGATCAGAAGATTTTGGCTGCATGATTAATAGCCTATGGGACGAGTTTTCTTCAAGGAACGAGTAATTCCGGAAATTCCGAGTTGGAATTTCTTCGCGTTATTTTTCTCTTAAGCTGATTACAATCAATTAATCACATAAACGCTCAATCAGCGTTTCTGAACACATGAGTTTGAATACGAAAGCTATTGATGGATGCAAAATGCATCCATCATATTAATGATCATGCAGCATACAGCTTTGCAAGCAACTATCAAAAGCGCTTGTTTTATCTATCTACAGTTCGACGAGTGTCACGTGAGGTTGTGATTCTATCAAGTCACCCGGGATCTATTCTATCTTCTAACAAACGACTACAATAACTACATCGACACGATGGGATGAAGTAGAATTACTCGAAGTTTTTATAACAGATAATAGTCAGGTCTAGACACATAATGTACTGCAATAAAAGCAAAAAAACAAATCAATTCTCGTTTTTTCCTGATGGTATCTAAGCAAATGAAAAGTGCAATATGAAAATTATTGGTTTAATTTGTTTTCTCATGAATGGCATTTCTTAAAAAAAAAAGCGATAAAATAAATCGTTTTGTGAGTAGACTGGACTTTGATAGAGTGCATTGAAATGTTGATGGATGTGATGAAATATACCTGATTATGATGAAATTCAACGTTGACAAAGTCGACCATAAATGTGAAAAGAAAAAGTGATATTTGTTCATTTGATAGATGTTAGATGCAGATATGATATTAAACGCTCTAGGTTGCTGTTGTTTGAAAATGCATATTGCAGCAATGCAATTGGAAACGTCGATGAGGCCATGAATCTATTTCTGCAATCTCTACAGCTACGGTGCGCTTTAGGAATTATTGTAGAATGTTAGAATGTCACCTCATCAAAAAAATGAACCATTTTGCATGAACTGTGAAACTGCATCCCATGAAATCAACAGCGAATATAGTTACTGCACTCAGTTGACCAAGTTCGTTTCTAATTTCAAAAAATGAATGCATATTTTCAGTAACAAGAGAATGTTGATGTCCTTACAAACAGTCGTTAAGTCAAATGAGAGAGTTAACGATCGAAAGAGCACAACGATGGGTTGATGAGTGAAAATGTTGTAAATTTTATTGCTTAAACTAGTTCATTACTGGGTTCAACAATGAGCATCAATAATTTTACCATCTTACGCCAATTAAATTTGATTCTGATCATAGTCGTTTAATAGCACAATTTGATATTTTTAAGCTAACAAAAAGGGAGAATGTAGAATGAATGGGTTTCTTGGCTTTTCAGCGAACAAATAAAATTCGGGTTTTTCGACTCGAAAGGAATTTGATGAATACGTTGATCTGTCCGAATTCTAACATTTTTTAAAACCACACCCTTTTTATTTGAAACTGAATTATAACAATGATAAATTAACGATAGGAAAAATCATCAGTGCATCAAGTATTTTCGCCGAGTGATTATTTCAATTTGCATTCATTCCTTTCCAAAACCACTATCTGATGAGACCAATGCTTTTTTACACTGGAATGTATAAACGGCAAGAATTTTATTGGGGCATATAAATCACTGATTCATTTGCTGTTGCTGTTTTCGTCTTCAAACCTTGATAAAAACCGACCGCACAAGTTACCAACTCGCAAAGCGAAAGAAAGAGGACGTAAAAACAATTGAAGCACAAACACTGACGAATAATTACTCACATGAAGGTTGAAATTTCATGACACAATCGAAGTCTCTCTTATGGAGTGCCCATGACTCGAAAGGCTTTATGTTGATCAACACAATCGATCATTTTTCGTGTGGTCTGCAGGTATACGGCACCTTGAACAAAACATCCATTCTAGAAGCATTCAGCGCAACAGTTCGTTGAATGAACCAGCAAAACAATGTTTTTCTTCATTAGTATTGTCAACTGACAGATTTTGATATTTTTTTGGAGATCATCAATGAACCGACCCGAAGTATCAGGAAGATCCGATGAAACTACCAATGAAGAACCCATTAACCGCAAGGAGTTTAAGGGAATTTTGACTGAACTGAATCAAATTCCAGTAATCGTTTAACGTTTCAGGCATCATGAATCAATCTACTAACGAACAACATTCCACATTTTAATGAATAAACGGCGAAGAATTGGTGACGAAACTCTGGATGAAGAATTTTAGAAATCAAATTAAAAAAACAAAACTTCAAAGAACACCACAGCACAAACTGAAACGTGAAAATATCTTGTACATTTGAATGCTTTCATTGTGATGGGTATGATTGATAACAAATGCTTTGAACTGCCTTTGTAGTGCAGCAATGGAATCGTTCAGACGCCGTGCCGTGACTGATTTTTAGTTCAGAGTAATCGTCAAAAAATCGTTTTTTGTGTCAATTCTGCGAATTGCAACATAAATCACATTCAAGATTCGTCATTCAAGTTGATGCACATAGCGAGTTTTGAACCAATATACGAACTTATGCGATATGGTCAATTGCACACAGAACCTTATTTGAACTCATAAAATGCGACATAATTTCCGTAATTCGATCTCACAACTGCATTCAAATCGTTTCGTTCACTTCTTTTCAGCAGTCTCATTAGTGGTTAGAGTTTCTGGATTAATCTCGTTGAGTATGAAGATCTGCATAAACGTATCATTAAAATCTAATTTCAGGATGTCAATTTGATCTATCATTGAGCCTTAAAAAAACGGGATCCGTCCGATTTACATAGAAGATCCATTGCACTGATTGCAGCTAGTACTACGATCATTAGACTTTTTCTTCAAAAAGAAAACGTGTCATCATCTTGGAGTTCAAATTTATTCATCGGACCAGTTGCATTGTTCACCTATCCGCTAAACGGATTCATCCTCTTTTGCCTCACCACTCATGGTGACTCATTGTCATTAGTGAGTCAGCATCAGTCAGTTATAGGTTTGCATTTAATGAATTCCATTTCAATTGGTCATTTTGTATCGTTCAATAAATACTTAATTGTTTTACAATGAATTGATAGATATAGCAAGTGCATTCTATCATAAGAATACGTTGAATGAACACACGAATAACAAAGAACGAAACAAAATCAAGTTTATGAATTGTCAGAGTGTTCTTTCTCCTTCGAATTTCGAACACACGGAAACTGATCTGATCAGAGCTCTTCTCACTTATATTGATCATTGTTTTTTATAGAAATTTTCTCAATTCTTCAAATTGCTTTATGATAGTAATCAGTCATAAAATTGAGGAGCTGAAATCCGAATGTGTTGAAAAACCAATCAGCAAGTGGAAACGTTTTCATCGAATAAAAAACCGAATGTTGTCAAGGAAGGAACAGGGTGTATCCGTTAAAGTCTGTCTATTTTATTGAGATAACGGATCAAAACGTATGCACTTTGACGAGATATCACGCTGCTGATATTACCTTAAATTATTGTGGCTTAAGCATTCGTCAGAAAAGAAGCAAAATTCATGCTGATTGGATACTTAATTTCCATTATCCAAAGTTTTGAAAGAAATAATATCATTAGAAGTGCTGATATCGATAAAGATTCATTCAACAATGTACATTCTTCGTTCCTCTTTTCATTCCTCACCAAATCAAGACTGATCAGTTGATTGAGCTACAAGCAACACCATATGAAGTGTTGAAGGAGTCATTTTGAGGCAATAAAAAATGGACATCATATGTAGATTCAGTTGGAATTATGTTAAGAGGTGGGTGCCGTTTGCTCGTGCATTTTAAATGTCAGCCTGCAACTATGAAACCAAATGAGCAGCTGAAAGAACTTTGAAATTCGTAAAGTATTGCTGATTCAGCAATTCGAAGTCAATCAACTATAAACCGGAATGCCTTCACCCTTTCAATTAATCATTAATTTGAAATTCTTGAATAGCATCAATCAAATTCTTTCATGCAGTGAATGATACTGAAAAACAGCTCAAAAGACCTTGATTTTGTATTATAATTACTGTCGAGATCATCATGTCATGTTTATGATCAAGATCAACATTCTCTCCGACATTGCTTTCTTGTACATTTGAGTGCTGTTCTTAGTTCAAGTTTGATATAAAAAGTATCCGTTGTGATTTTGAAACGGCCATTTTTCATGACTTATCTGATTTCGTGGCAGAATTCAAATCAAAATACGTCAACGATGGTGCTGTTGTTGCCTCGAAGACATCACTTGCTTGTGCTCAAACCAACACAACATTACTCATTAGTAAACAAACTTAACTTAATGAAGAATGACAGATAAATGGATCACCGTTTCACTGTGTGGAGTGTCAGGATTCAGGGTGCACTAGATTTTTTTTGAACACTTCAGTACGGTCTATTCAATAACAGAAGGAACGGAACGGACAAATATTTTATTCTGATGTACGAGATCGGAACGGTTCTGATGAAACAAACTGAAAAGTAATTGGTTTTGGTTTCTCATAAGTGATGAAAACAAGTAACTGTTTATATAAGTCAAACAAATCGAATTCGACGAATTTTCAAACTATCGAGTCACGATGACAGTACAATATAATAACTGCTAAATTTACAACGATTCAATACACAATCGATTCACGATAGATGAACGAGTATGTCAATCTACGCCAGCATAAATGGAGTGCATTTCAATTTTATGCATGAATGGTACATTTTGAAGTTTAGCTTACAATTAGTAAGTACTGTTAAATTTGAAATATTGGAGCAATGCAAGGCAATAACGAATGACTTATTAACCCGAGTCGTTCTCTTCATTATACAACAACCGCAAACCTATAGAGAAGAAATATCATGGCTGCAAGCTTGTTACAATCGGGAATCAACAACACCGAGAATCGCCGATTAGAATCAGCTTTGACCGATGCTGTACCAGAGTTGTGTTGATCTGCTTTCATACAGAACTTCGTCTGCCAATTTTCCACGGAGATATCGCTCTCAGGACAGCTTTCAATCCTCGTCTCACATCTATTTCTTTCGATAAATTCATCGGGAACGCATTCGCATGCGCTATCGCTATCTTCGAAACAAAACGTCCTCAAACGCATCAATTCAATTGGATTATCCACAAAGCTTTGCCTTATACTTACATTATTCAAATACGACCAAAGATTATCAACTCGATAAAATTTACAAATTTCTGCATAGAAATTCTCAATTGACGAACTACCAAAAGCATGACGTTCGGCGTTCAGTAGAGCGCTGTCACGTAATATGAATGTTTTTACGGAAGAATCACGGAATGCATAGCGTTCAATCGTGTTGATGTGTGTCGCAATCACTTCGACACGATCCATGTTGAGGTAGGCAAAAGCATTTTCGTTGATAAAGTGCACTCTTGAATGGAATATTTGAAGTGTCTTCAAACGTGGTGGTAATCTGAGCAACTGAAGTGTTTCGATGCGATAAATGTGTAGCGATGTTACACGCGATGTTGATGCTGAGTTGATGTGTAGCTGTATGCAGTCACCAATCAACAGTATTGATGCGTTCGTCTGAGGTAGTTGAACTGATTTGTCACTTGTCGTGTCACCGTCGCAGACACACTCAACGATCTGATGACGTCCACGACAATGCACCCCACCTCGATCGGTCCATTCCAACTCTCGTTTGCATATCTCTTTTCCATGCGACTTCAAGCATCTGTTATTCTCAAAATACCACGGCATGTACCGCTCGTCATTATTCAGCAACAACGCATTTGTTTCACAATCATTTGGATCACACCCAAACACGTTATTCGTTGCTGTTAATGATAACACTCCCAACTGAGCAAATATCGTGCCGAAATCGCCGAATGTAAATTCATTATTGTGCAGTGTGAGGTTTTCAACCTGCAATCAACTGATCATTAGAAGTGAACCATTTTTAAAATTGCTAGTTGCAAAATTTCGGTCATCCAAATTAGAAAGAAAGGAATCGGCGTTAGAATACTTCAATTCAGAACACTTATGTGGATCAGTAGTGAATAAGTTTCATGATGGTCACAGAAGTGATAAACTTCGTTCCTATGTTTCAACAAATGCGCTCACCTGGACATTGGCAAACGGTGAGGACCCAATCTGTGACATTTTCGAATCGACAATGAGAAACGTTGCCAGTATCAAATCGGCAAAACAATTATTTGCTATTGAAGTGACTTTTGATTTTGAGATCAAAATTTGTTGAATTATCGTATTCAAAAAGATATTTGCTGACATTCCACCAATTTCACATTCACTCCATTGCAGTGTTCTGATTCGAGTTTTTTCGAAACTTGTGGTATGGATTTGATCGATTGAGCTTTTGTCGAAAAGCAGTGTTTCGATATTGGCATTGCGAAATGCTCGTTCCGATATGATACCGATTTTGCTTTGGACAACTTCGAGCAGCTCAATTGAATTGATATTGTGGAAAGCGTTTGAGGTGATTTGCTTAATTGTCGATTTGAAGAAATAAATTGAACGTGCACGTAGATTCGAGGTGGCGGGCGATAGCTCGGCAATCGTCGATTGATCAATTTGAATTTTTGTTGAATTGAAGAAAGTTGAAAGCGCTAATCGATCAACAGTTGTATTGATTAGATGCACGTGATCGATGGACTGCGATATGAATCGAGATAAATGTCGCGTTCTTCGATTACGCCATCTGCATCGCATCAGCATCAGCTTATTCACTTCAACTCCAATAAAACATAACTCATTTGTGCTCATACGAACATCCTCGAACACAAGCTGTGCAATTTGTGAATCGCTGAACACCATCGCACCCAGTGAACGAATTCGCACATTTCCACGTATGAAGAAATTTTCCACTTCATGCATTTTACCTGAAAAATTCTAGTTTTATTTGTGAGGAAGTGTTTGAAAGTTGCTGGAAAACTAGTTTGCACTAGGCTTGGGTCGAGAGCCCGTGAGCATCTGTGAGGTTTCCGGGATTCTCGACTCCACTTCTTAGAGAGCTACGGCCCTCCAGCTGGAGAGTCGAAGGCTTGATCTTTCTCAAAACATCGAGGCATTTACAGTAGCCATATCTACCAAATGCGATGAATGTTCAGTGAAGGCTTAAAAATGTACCGCTGCCAGGGGATGCACAACTGAATTGAATTCAAGAACAACTTATTTAGAAGAACAATGCTATGATCAATGATTGCAGATTAACTGATTGTGAAAGTAATCGCGAAGTGCTAAAAACGATTGAGCTATGAGTTCAAATTGGTGACACCAGTAAAATAGCAAAATAACGAATAACTAACTAAAAGCAAAATTATCGACTTGTATAATGTTTGAATCACGAAAGTAAACGTATTCAACATTGCTGACATGCTCAAATGCACGCGCTGCAATTGAACCAATTGTTGCATTACGAAACCAAATATGTTTCAAATTCGACAAGCCAGAGAATGCATTTTTTGGAATACGATGGAAATTCGCTTCTTGGATGATCAGTTCGTGAGGTGATCGCAAAATACCACGAAATGTCCACGGACTCAGCACCACTTGTTTGATCGCGACCAACTGTAAAAAGCATTATGTAACGCTATCACAAACCGAATTTCTGAGGAGAAGACTGATTTTTTTCAGTGAATATTAATAATAATAAATAATAACCTTAATGAGTTGATGAAAAACAACACCATCGAATGTTCCATTCGGTATAATCAGAAGGTCACACGTATGAATTATGAGAGTATGTATGAAATGGAGACCGTTAAGTTTTGGTAATGTGAATCTCGTTCCTGATTCCCCACCTAACGTTTCTTCGCATCTGCAAGCAGCGATTTGAGCAATGCAAAAAAATGAACATCGTTGATATTCGACTTTCATCGTTATGAGAATGTGTATGCATTCATCCAGTTAACTAGGAAACGCAGAATAGAACTTTTAAAAATTTTGATCCAGAATTTTGAGATGACCTAAGAAGAACTACGCAAATGAAATCTTAATCTGAATTTGAAAATTTCATTATTTGCTGATCACTCAATTCAAATCGTAGATTAATTGAATTCAGACTGATCGAGCAATTCGATTCAGTAACAGCGAATCCAGAAATTTGAGATGACGCGTATGAGATTATTTAACTGAAATATTAATTTGAGTTTGAAAATTTTGATGCGTACTGATCAATTCAGTTCGATAAAAGATCTGTCTGTAACCAGTAAAAGATCCGTTTGTGTTTCTAAATTTTCGGATGTTTAAATGCATCGTTCATTCAATTCAGTTGCATTTTCCAAACAAACCAAAAAACGCTATTCTCTGTAACAATGCAAGCTTTGATTATTGTTAGATGTGATGCTCATCCAAATGTGCATATTTCTCAACGAATGAAGAAATTATCCTCTTAGCGACAGCAGCGCTTGCAATCTCAGTCAATGAATACGTTGTGCTCTTGAAGGGAGAAGTACTCTTTCTCAATGAATGAAACGAAGCACTCTCCGATCGTTTTCCAAATCTCGTTTGAAAACAATTTCATTCCGCAAATGAACACCACTTTCATTAATTGTCTCCACATTTATTCCTATCATCGACCCATATTGCTTCATCAATGCAGAAAAATATAAATTCGTTGATTAGTGTATCAGTTGGTCACTCTGGATCAGTGACCGTCAATTCAAGAAAGCACGATCCAACGTATTATTCATATGCATGAATACAAATCAATGATTTCGGCTGTATGTGATTGAAACTAATTGAGAATATTCATCGCACTTTTTTCTGAACTCAATGAAGCCATAAAAACTAATGCAATTAATGCAAAACAGAGATGTATTGATGAAATTAAGTGAAAAGCAATCAAAATTGAGTTGTTGATTACTTGCACTTAAGAGTATTGAGTGTGGGCAAAAACAAGAACTAAACGAAGTATACAGAGATTTTTAGTTCATCATTTCTGCAACGAGTAAGGTTACGGACAAATTTGCGAATTTCAAATTTATCAACTGATATCATTCGGGATTCTTATAAGAAACATGCAATCAGTTTGTCGTGTTAAAGTGAAAGGAATATTCAACAGTGAATCATATTCAGAAGCTATTCGTTAACATCGTCCAAATCAAGACGACCGCTAAAATTGAGTTCATACATTCGCATTCAAATTCAATTTACTCGTCAGTGAACATAAATCAAATCCTATCGTCGCTAAAAGTTTATTCACAAATCTTGCTCATAAATTCACTCTTTCGAAGTTCTTTCAGCACATTGACGAATATTGATTCAAACGACTGAGTTTAACACCTGAACTTAAACTGCTTCTAGTTGTACCTTTACATACAAATAAAGCTGAGTTTCGCCATGACATCGACGAGAAGAAAGGTACGCGAAAAATGTTTATAAGTGAGTGTAACATTAACTTGTAGGTTGTAATTCAATCAGTTGTTACGTACTAGGCTTTTTTACAGATTTAGGAAGATGGAAATCATCGAAATTCACGGATTCATTTGTCCGTTGCTAGACGGCTCCTCACCGGGCCAGATCGAAAGCAACTCGAATGTGAAGTGATCTAAATGATCAATTTTCAACATTTCACATGGATGATAAATATACTTACGTGCAAATAACCGACTTGTCACTGCACGTACATCCAACTGGACACTTGCTCAAAGCAAAAGGTACAATCAGCAAACAAATAATGACGTCCAACTGTGTTGATTGCATATGGCAATGGCTTTTCTAACAAAAAGCGTCGAATCTATCGACAAAAGATAGATATCACTGAGCAGAAGCAGTACGGTCCGTCAGCAAATACAGTTATAGGTAATGATGTGCCCAGTAAATATAATCACGACGGTGATCACTCAGCTTCTTCGTGAATCAATGAGTGATTTGAAAAGTGAATGAAACGACTGAAGAGGGCACGCAAAATGGTATAGGAGTGAGTGGAATGTAATAGCTGTTAAAGGTTTTGGGATGGATGGATGAAGTGTCCAAGAAGCGACGACGTTTCACATCTACCACCAAGCAACGTTTATCCAATTAGAGGTCTTTGAGAAGCAGCATCTACTTGGTGAGTTACCTTTTGGAAGACGTCGCATAACATTGAGTGAGTTGTGGTAGATCTGGTTGGCGTAGTAGTAGCATTATTCAATCTTCTTATTCTTATCTTACTTATCGCAGTGCTCTCTTATTAGGGTGCTTTTGTTATGCAATTCTCCGTTGGGAATTTACCACTTATGCAGATTATTTCCATGCTTCTAACACCAATCCTTGTCGTTTGCTTATATCATTAAGCCTTATTATTAGCCGTGATGGCTTATTCTCGATGGTGCATCCTTAAAAACTAATCATACATTCATAAATTTAGCAAACTATTCACATGAAGACAATTCCATTAACATCTTCAACTGTGCCCATTCACACGACAATTCAAAAATAATCGTACTAAAGAGTCACATTCTCCTCAAACTGCGCAATAATGCTGGTGTATAATCAGGTGAAAACCTGGCGATCTTTATGGGATAAGAAACAGAATGAGTAAGGACTGTGGCAGAGAGAGGCACTGAATTCTCCATATTTCAACAAATTGTTTACCCTTTCCGTAGTCGAATAAATTCCTTGCTGATACCTAATTTTGTTTATAAAATCAAAAACTTTCCAGGATCGGATGTGGATGCGTGATTCATGGTCAAATTTATGGTTGAGGATAATAATAAGAATGATTAGTGCTCAATATGGTAATGCTGATAGATAATTATACCACACATGTTATCAACATATGGTAATAATAATACCAGTAACAATAACAATGATAGTAATAATAACAATGGTAGCAATAACAATAATAATGTCACTAATAAGAGCAACAATAATAATGCAAGTGAGGATAACTATTATTGCTGTTATTTTTGCAAGAAAAATGATGAAAGCAATGAATTTGAGACTCTAGGAATAAAACTGCCATCCTTGTTTTGAATTCGACTGCTATAATATACTTCACTTCATCCATCGCTGAACGAGCTCAACTCGAAACCCATTCGTTTCAAATCTTCTAATTAACAACAAATGAAGTGTACTCTTCATTTTCTATTGCTTGACAAAAACAGTCCGACAAGTGGTTTTTTTGTTTGTTGCTCTCCTCTCGAAACTACGGATGAAAAATCCGCCTTGAACATATTCATTATCCACTCCAATGTCCTTTTTTGATACAGAATGGTTTTTTTTTGCCAGGGCAGTTCTTGAGCTCACATGTTTCGTAGATGTCTAAAGGGAAAAAATTAGACCCAGGCTTCGGGTTCAGAATCAGGTATAGGATTGTGTTCAAAGTCTTTGGCAATTATAAAATGTCCAAAGAATTTTCGGCGTCAAAAGTGGTCCCTCAACCTTTTTTTTCTGTCTCCTGCAAAACATTCAAAGCGATTCATCGTGATGAACACACATGAAGTCGTTCATTGTTCCCCAAGCNGATGAAATCTCTTTCACTTATTTCATCAGTATCATTTCTGTTTTTATGGAATCTATAGATCCTTCCAAAGAGCAGCCTGTTGAGCGAAATGAAATTATTGTCAGTTAAATGGTTGAGTAACAATGGAGAAATGAATGGTTAACGAGTTTGATTCTTTAAAGAAATGTGCAGAATTGATGGAAAGTACATTATAGGGAACCGGTTAATACTCATTCACACAGCAATTCTTTTACACACCTTCAGTCACGAACGGAGCTTCTTAACATCATTATAGTGTCATTCGATCACCATCCATCTTCATACACCATCTGAATCTATTTCGTGTCTCATTGAATGTCACCAAAATCACTTGCGGATATTTTCAGAATGCATTCGAATGCTCGCTCCAATATTTTCGACCATACGCATGCAACAATAAATATACTTGAAGCTCTCCTCGCAGTTCTTCGACATACTTAAAATTAGTTGTTTTTGGGATAGCTTTCCTCTCTAGTGAGATCCATATGAATTGACTAGCATAAATCTCCAACCAGTCAGTACAACTTGAGTTANCCCCCCCCCCCCCGGTAAGTTCAACAGTTTATGTTTCCAGTTCATATTTCAAAAGTGATTTCTTCTTTCATTCGAGCAAATAGCATTTTGGTAATAAATTGCGTTGACAAAAAAATTACCGGCAGCAGTTGAAGGGTAAAGTGACAAACGTTTGTATAGATCAAACTCGCTCGAAACCAAACGCTGAACATATCAGCGTAACCCGACTGATCAGTTTTTCTTTTAAACACTACAGTATCCTCCAGCATTCATTAACAAACTCGTTTTGAAAGGAAGAAACGTTGCAGAGGCGAGAAGCAGCAATCGCTGTGAAGAGAAAGCGGTGTAATGTAAAAAATGCACATCAACCGATGTGTTATTTGAACATGAGTGTGCGCTTGTCGATTGCAGTCAAGGAGTGATGGAAGTGGAACGGAATGGAGAAATGACTCCTAATAAAATAAATCAACTTTTTTGTAAAATAAACTTTTTGTTCATTCCATTCATACGGTGATTTCGGAGTATTTCTGTAATTTTTCTGAAAAAATTATCAGAAAAAGTTTTTGCAAGATGAGAATGTGTAAATGAATTTCTTTGGTGATCAATACGAGACTAAATTTCACATGAGTTGATATACAAGGTACCAAACCTGAACTTATAGATACAGTAAGGAAATTAAATTGAAGGTTCTATAACAGGATACTTCTTGGACAGTTGGAACGGAAAGTCAAAAAAGCAGTATACAAATCAATTATTGAAAAAAAAAACACGAAATCAGTGCTTATCAGTTGAACAGATAATTCGTTGGATTGAATTCATTTGACGGTTTCCATTAGGATACGTTATTGGTAGCATGTTATTTCATGGTCACAATGTTATGCGGCTGAGCACTTTCAGATAATTGTTGAATTTTTTATGATCTCGTTTAGTATTGGTGAATTCGCTGAATGAGTGAGACAGTTTTGCATGAGTAACTGAACATATATTTATATGAAATGATCAATTTAAATTTAATTTGTTGATGAATACACGAAATACTATGATATGAATGATAGAATTGAACGCGCTGTGAAACTGTTTATTTTTACGAAAAAAACAGCATGATTCGAGAGAAAAATGTTTTGAATAGTATTCAGTCGATGATAAGTGGAGACCGTTGTGGTGGATGAGCTGAGAGCGCATTTCAGTGTTTCTTGAGAAGGAATACGCTGCTGCGTGGCGGGCACGGGCAGTAGTGTGCATCTGGACCAGGCAATCCTGCGCTGCCAGCCTGAAGTTTTCATATGCATTACTGTCTGCTTGAAAATTTTATAAACGCATTTTTTCACTGATCTTCGATATTCTTAAATGTAGCACTGCGTTTCTTGTTAGTTTGAATGCATCATATTGGTGCTTGATTCTTTGGTATTTGCACAAAAAGTAATTCAAATCTGAAGATGAAGAGAATGATACATACTGGTCCTGGGCGGCCATCCTTTCCGGGACGTCCATCGCGTCCAGGTCTTCCGTCTGGACCTTTGTCTCCAGGCTCTCCATCGGCACCCTTCTCGCCATCTTTGCCTGGCTCTCCGGGTGGTCCACGGGGTCCAGGTGGGCCTTTTGGTCCTTGTGGTCCCTTTCCGCGCTTGCCATCTTTGCCTGGGGGTCCTGGCTGACCGGGACGGCCTGCGGGTCCTGCAGGTCCAGGCTCTCCTGGTTCGCCAGCTGGGCCTGGTGGGCCGGGTTTTCCTGGACGTCCCGGTGGGCCAGCGTTTCCTGGTGGGCCGGCTTCTCCAAGCTCTCCGTCAGGTCCAGGTGGTCCAGGTGGTCCTGGTGGGCAATCGATGCAAGCAGTGGGCATCTCATATGTGGGTTTGGTAGCAATTCCGGGAACACCAGGTGGTCCGTCTTTGCCGTCTGGTCCATCGGGTCCTTTGTCTCCTGGATCACCACGTGGTCCTGGTGGTCCAGCTGGGCAGCCTTCAGCTGATGGACCGCAATCTGCAACAAAATCATTCTAGCATGAATTTCATTTTATTTCAATCACCGCAATGGATTTCAACGGAACAGTTCTGATATCCTCGACGTTTACTTTCAAATCAATGCGCTCTCAACCCCAAATGTAACTTACGGCATCGATCAGGAATTTGACGTTTCGCACGTCCGAAGAGGCTTGCGAATGACGGTGGCGCATCACTTTTGCCGGATGGGTTCATATGCAACAACAAAATTCGTTGCCACGTGTCATCGGCAACAATCTGAAACAACAAATTCATTTCAGCTGAATGCTAACAGCCATTCACGAACTGCGATTATGAAAAATCCCATGTTCTAGTGATTGCTTTCATGCAGCATTCATTACTTCTCGACCCATTTATTGCTTAACCTTTTTCTTTCCCATTTGACAGAGTTTCTCTCGCTGTGTTCCCATTTCAGAATCACACTTTCAATTATGACAATAACATGCACATAATCTCATCCAAACTCCCAACCCACATCAACCTGTCATGAGCTCCTCAATTCCCGGTGAACTTTCCGTACAAATCCAGGCATATTCTATTCAATCAGCTATTATACCTAGCTCATTACCATCAAATGAATTTGTGAACGCACTCACCCTGAATTCACCCATTTCATCCATAACATCATCGTAAAGGCTATTAATGTCGTTGTAGATAATGCATACTGCGACGAGCGACATGATAATCACGAAAACGCTGCCCGCCGTAGCGAGACCGACCATTAACTTGACGCTCATCTTTCCGCCTGAAACTTAGGTAACAAATTTGGTATTTTGTTGAGTTACTTACAGTTCAGTTGTTGATTGATTCGATTCGCGTGTAAAAGATTAGAGAAGATGACAATGAAATGGAAGTTCAATGAATATGGTTCTAAATTAGTTCATTCACTATGCGATTTGCAATATTAGACTTTGTTCGGAAAGTTGGTGCAGTGAGCTTTTGTAATAGTGGGAAACATTTCTTAAAAACTCATTTGATTGCGAGTGAACGTATGATCAGCGATGCGCTTTAGGCACGTGGAAGTCACTAGCGTTATATTGTAGCAGAAATCATGCAAATATGGAGCATCGAAATGTACTCTGACGATTTTAAATTCGCTTCAAAATATTTTATAGACGGAGGATGTATGAAGCTGTCAAAAATCAGCAGTGTTTATTCATGATCTGGTGAAATAGATCATCAAGTGTTTCATCAAATGGTCGATGTCAATGATTCACTAGATACCGTATCATAACAGTGGATCTTCGGATAAGAATCTGATTTCGAAATTAATTTCCAAGATTGTCCAAAAATTGTCTCGTTCTGTTTTCTTAAGGAGCAAAGAGATTTAAGAATGCGATACAAATTCGAGAGGTACATACATACACTGAATGATTATCTAAGGAATTAGCAAATGAACGATGAAGACGCAGTGGTTGACATTATGATCAGGAATGATTTTGTTGTTTTAAGATAAGTAGTATATCATCGATGTGGTTGTTTGATTGGATGAAAGTATAGTGAAAGTGGAATGAAGTAAGCGAAAACTGAAGCGGAAATATTGAGAGTCGAGTTGCTCGAGGAGTGGTGCTGATGGGCTGAGAGCACAACTGGTAATGTTGGTGGTTGTATGAGTTTTAGAAATGGTAAGCACCTTATATACCTGACATGACAACCGCGCCTCCGTCAGTTTATATGCTCTTTTTGTGACATAACGCAAACGCAGCTATAATTCATCGTCGTCGGTTTCAGTGAGGCGGTAAGCGGGTCCTAACGATGTTTAAAAAGTTGTTTATTGCTGAGGTTGTGCACAGGTGAGGAAAGAGAATGACGAAAAGAAATAAAGGTTAAATGAATAAAGGTGGCATTTATTCTGATAGATCAGCATAGAAACGATGATGGGCATTTGCAACTGACAGAATACTGTGCCTGTGGAAGGAGAATGAATTTAGAGAGAAGAAAGAAACGTGGTTGTATTTGCTGGTGCATTAGTTGATGTTGTTTTATTTTATTTTATCTTATTCGATTTGATTTTATTTCATTTAACTTCTTGATGCATAAGTAAGTGGTGGTGATCATTATTATTATTATTGTTATATTGCATCAACAACAAACTTGTCTTAAAACAGCTACAAAAAGCGGACGATACACTGAGACGTACGTTATTTTGGATGTGTATTTGTGTGTCAATGCAATATACCTGTATGCACATATTCCTGAACGACAGCATTGTCTAACTGCTACGTTTCATACAGCACATGATGCATGCACTTAACCGTTGGGATTCTTTCTTCACTCCCTTCTCATTCATTCACTTTCGTTCCTTTCTCACTGTTTCGAATTCCCTTCGCCCACTCCACTTCGTTCCTTCCCCGCGGATAAAACATTCTTTACCGGTTCGGTTTTTTCACTTCACCTTTTCATCTCTATCCTAATAGCATCAATGTATTCTTCACCGCAATTCAGCGACTCTGTCATGGAAAGGACATCATTTTTTTTAGTGCATACAACTGGAGAATTTTGTTTAATGAATGAATGAGGCACTATCAATCGTCTCCTTCTGATAATCGTTTCTGAACACCACGTTATGCTAATCCATTCAAGAGCTTGATATCTGGTTTTATTGAAATATTCAAGAGTGGTGTATGACCGGATGCGAAAAAAAGTTGATTAAAGAGAAAAAATGCAACCACGTAATGTGACCGACATTTGGCCAGATATGGGAACTTTGAGATTTGAAACTATCACAAAGAATCGTATTCGCATTTTCAGTACTGAGCAAAGGTCCAAACTGCGTGAAAAAAAAAACGGTTTATGACACATCATAATAATGACAATTTGTAACATAATAATAGTAAAATACAAAGTGCATTCAGATGAGTGCGATAACTCGATACGTTTTATTAGGTGCTAAACATTTCAGTTAAATAATGTATCATGCTGAGAGGATATAACGAACACACTGAGAATATAACGATCACTTATGCATCACTGTTTCGACGAATGTTCGTTCTTCTCGAATGATACCCCCTCGACAGATCCCCTCATGCATAAATCCCACGCCAATAGAAAAAAAACTCGAGCGGCAGTCTGATTGAAATCGGGTCAATGGGATCATACAGCTGTATTATACCTCCTTGGAGTGATTCCGGTCGTCGAAATTTCCTCATGATTTTTCATCATTTTGTGGTTGCCATCTGATGAAGGCAACACTGAAGATGCCTGAAAGTAGTCTAATAAATAACGAATTAATGTTGTTCAAGAGTGGGAACTAACTTCCCAAATATTATGGTCGAACTTTTGCCGGATTGTCCTGTTCTAGTCTATATTCTCGTTTTTGAAACTGTTCTGTTCCTACACGTGCATTCCCAGGCCGTTCTATCCCATTCTTTCGTTTAAACTATTCTATTCCAGTGAATTGAATTTCCGTCTTGTTGCGTTCCATTCTGATGGACCAAACATAATCAGAATAATCTAACTGGAACAGAGACAACCGCATTCCTACGGTTCACTCTGATCACTCACTTGCATTCATATCGTTGTTCGAGTGGAGCATATCTGCATCCTTGATTCTGACCAGAAAGAAATTTTTTGCATGAATTTTTCCCCAACTCATCGTCATATTAACTGAACGCGAAAAATCAACTGGAATTTGCCCTTAATCACCGCGAATTGATTATTTTCTATCGAATTATTTCGTGAAGGTTCGCTCCTCTGAAGCTTCTCAACTCATGTGTAAAAACTACTTTCCCTTCTCTCAGTCTCTAATTACCAATTAATTTTTCCCACAAAAACAAAACTGAACGTCTAAATGGAATATTGTTTGTGTGCATGCATTAATTAAAAAAGCAAGTTCTGCAGTCTTCTACATCATATCGTGAAAACGTTTCAACGACAATCTACACTGCTCACTATTATATATATATATATA